GTAGACGTAATGGTTATCTGAGTTAAATTCACCCATTCCAGTCCATTTTAGTTCGCTGATTCCTAAAATGTCGATGTTCACTCTTGCCATCTCCTGTTTAACCACTTCCAACTTGCCTTGATTCAAGGACCTAACATGCCAGGTTCCTATGCAATATTCCTCTTTACAGCATCAGACTTTACTTCCATCACCAGTCACATCCACAACTGGGTGGTTTTTGCTTTGGCTCCATCCCTTCATTCTTTCTGGAGTTATTTCTCCACTGATCTCCAGTAGCATATTGGGCTTCTACTGATTTGGGGAGTTCATGTTTCAGTATCCTATCTTTCTGCCTTGTCATACTGTTCATGGGGTTCTCAAGGCAAGAATACTGAAGTGGTTTGCCATTCCCTTCTCCAGTGGACCACGTTTTGTCAGAACTCTCCACCATGACCTGTCCATTTTGGGTGGCCCTACACGCATGGCTGATAGTTTCATTGAGTTAGACAAGGCTGTGGTCCATGTGATCAGATTGGTTGGTTTTCTGTGATTGTGGTTTTCATTCTGTCTGCCCTCTGCTGGAGAAGAAGAGGGCTTCCCTGGTGGCTCAGATGGCAAAGAGTCTGCCTGCAGTGCTGGAGACCTGGGTTCAATCCCTGGGTTGGGAAGATCCCGTGCAGAAGGAAATTGCAACCCACTCCAGTATTCTTGCCTGGAAAATTCCATGGATGGAGGCTTCTGGCGGGCTACAGTGCATGGGGTCACAATCAGTTGGACATGACTGGAAGAGAATACATTTGTGTTAAGTCTTTAATGACCGAGCAACAAAAACAGTTGTCTTTTGGACTCCTTCCTTGGTGACACAGTGGTAAAGAACCTGCCTGCTAAGGCAGGAGACATGGGTTCATTCCCTGGTCCAGGAATATCCCCTGGAGAACGAAATGGCAACCACTCTAGTATTGTCTGGGAAACCCTATGGACAGAGAAGCCTGGCAGGCTACAGTCCATGGAGTTGCAAAGAGCCAGACACGACTTAGTGACTAAAACAGCTTGTTATAGTGTCAGTAGGAAATGAAAACAATCAGCAATGCAATACTGAGTCTAAGAGATTAAATAATCCTGGAAAGGTATGGGGAGAAGTTTACATAGATACTTAGTATTAGGTGCTTGAATAGTGGTTGCTTGTGAGGTCTAGTTACCTTTTCCTGGTATAATTATTTACCACTTTAAGTGGTGATTCTTCATTTTAAATGTCTTCAGTTTAGTCACTGAGTCTTGTCCGACTCTTTGCGAGCCCAGGGACTGCAGCACACCAGGCTTCCCTGTCCATCACCAACTCCCAGAGCTTGCTCAGACTCACGTCCATTGAGTTGGTGATGCCATCCAACCATCTCATCCTCTTGTCATCCCCGTCTCCTCCTGCCTTCGATCTTTCCCAGCATAAGGGTCTTTTCCAGTGAGTCAGTTCTTTGCATCAGGTGGCCAAAGTATTGGAGCTTCATCATCAGTCCTTTCAATGAATGTTCGGGACTGATGTCTTTTAGGATGGACTGGTTTGATCTCCTTGCAGTCCAGGGGACTCTCCACAGTCTTTTCCAACACCACAGTTCAACAGCATCAAACGCTTTACCTTGCTTTAATATTCCAAGACCCAACAAATCCTTTTTTTGGAAGAGGTGATTTCTACCTTTTGTGAAATCCAGTTCTGTTATCAGCTTCATGTGGGGGCGTCCTACTTTGAGGTTCATCGTTTAGGACACAGTGGTACTTTGTTGAGGTTTACGAAGCAGAGAAAGGGGGCTTGGCTGAGTTTGAGCTGAGGTGTCAAGACCACCACTTGAAGGGGAAAGAGCTTAGAGGATTTTAAAGTCACAGGAGTTACTGGAGGCAATAAATGTGCAAACAATGTGTCTGATGATCTCTGGGAAATTTAGTGTCTGGACACCTCACCTTTTTTCTGAAAAAGGAATGTCCATGGTTTGTTATTCTTATAAAAGATATGATCTCTCAGCTATTAAGCAGTAATATACTCAGTCAAGGCAAGAATGCAGCAAGATAAGCACTCCCTGCTTTGGAGCTGGGATGGGGAAAGAAGACTAGAAGCTAGTACAAAAATGAATATTAAAAATGTTCATTCCCTCAGTGAGGGCCTCTGCTAGTAATTTTTTAGACAATTGCTTAAAAACTTTGGAAAATCTGACTCTAAAAACAATAAATTTATGACAGTTAAAAAAAAATAAAAATGTTCATATACTCTTTGTGCCAGTAATTCCATGCCTAAAAATTATCTCTAGGTTAAAGCGATGTGAGTTCATATGCAAACATTCACTACAATGTTTATAGCAGTAGTAGCTAAGAGAGGATTTGTTAACATAGTACATTTATGCAATAGCCTCACAGCCATTTACACATTTATGGAGAGTTTCATGATATGGTGAATTTAATATATGGAGTGTGCATGATAAAAAAAACTACTAAACAGTATTCTGCTGCTGCTGCTATGTCGCTTCAATCGTGTCCGACTCTGTGCGACCCCATAGACGGCAGCCCACCAGGCTCCCCCATCCCTGGGATTCTCCAGGCAAGAACACTGGAGTGGGTTGCCATTTCCTTCTCCAATGCATGAAAGTGAAAAGTGAAAGTGAAGTTGCTCAGTCATGTTGGACTCTTAGTGACCCCATGGACTGCAGCCTACCGGGCTCCTCCGTTCATGGGATTTTCCAGGCAAGAGTACTGGAGTGGGGTGCCATTGCCTTCTCCGTATTCTTCTATAAGTTATTATATATTATATCAAACAAATGAACAGCAACAAAAAGATGGGAATGGCCACTAATATGTTGTTTATTCTGGATGACAAGAGTTTGGGAGATCAAGCTGCAGAACTGTATTTTTGTTTTTAACAAGTAATACTTCAGTAAAAATTTCTTCCAAATCTGGCTAGCCAGCAATATTTATGGAATTGTGGAGTATAGACTGTCAAAAGAATTTCTCCTTGAATTTGATAAGCAACAGTGATGACTTCTTTTTTGAGAACCTGTGTAGTACTCATGAATTTATCCATGTTTTCTTGGGCATCTGGAAGAGCATCCTTTTTACTGACAGCAAAGCAGTAATACCTTAATGAGATCATGTCTTATTCCAGATTGCAGCCTGTTATTTGATGTATAGTGGAGTAGGTTAAATGCATGCATTCTAATATCTCCACACTTTTTAAAAAGCATGCATTGGGGTGATTACTGCTACCAACTATCCGTTTAGACCACAGTTTCATGTAGCAGGCAGTGTATTATCTGTTTATACTAACATAAATTAGCCTCCTGCCTCTACACAAGGGTGTACATTAACTCCCCAGATTAACACATAATTGGGAAAATGTGCTCCATGTGGAGTTCTGAAGCTTCAGGTTTTTACACGGATCCTTTTGCAAAAGCCAGTATGATTCTTTTAATAGATCACACAGAACGCAAAGTTCTCCTTGGTGCCAGTTAGAATGAATATGCAAGTGGTGTGGAACAGAGAATCATGGTGCAGTCTCTGGAACTTTTCCTTGAAAAGTTCATGTCCCTGCTTGCTCATTCTAGAGAGGTAGCATGAACTCTCCTTATCCTGATGACCTTTTGTTCAGGATTCTTTTTCTTGATTAAAGTTAGCTTTTAAAGAAAGGTAGAACCCAACTGCTCCTGAGTGGTCCTTTTCTCTTGCATAGAAACTTATAGCCCACTCAAGAGCCTCACTAGACAGTAAAGTCATCTCTTATCAGAAAGACAATGGACCAAAAGTTTTCTTTGCTAACTGAAGCCTTTTATCTTATTTGCAATATGCTAATTCATAGAGGGAAAGAAAAAAAAAATCGCTTCCTTGTCTGTTTGAATTACTTTTGCTAGCAAGTTTGAGAGGCCTTTAACTTCTGCAGTTAATTTCAACCAGTTGTGCTGTAGTTTTGTAGTAGATAATCACCTCCAGAATCCAGGTCAAAGATCTTATTAACGTACATGTTTTTTTAACACCAGGCCAAAAACAATCAAAATTGGATCTGAGGGCTTGATGCTGTTGAGTCTCGTTAGCTTCTGCATAGCAAAAACTCATTGTAATGTCTTCAGAAGTATAATTTAGACACACACTTGGAGGAAGAAAAGCCCGAATCAGACAAGAACCAGGATAAGAACAGTCAAGGCTCTTTTTAAAGATTTAGTTGTTCATAGCCTAAACTGCTTTTTCCCTCCACGCCAAATGCAATATTGAAATTCTGGTGCCAGTTTCCACATTATTTACCAGGAAGTGCACACGTCAAATGCAGCTGCTTATAGATACTTTTACTTCTTAGAATGACATCGGGTCCCAAACACTGTTACTCGGGTCTTTTCAGAGAGCTTCTCATCCTATTGCTCATTCTCTGCAGGGGTAGCAGAATGGTGTACCGTGTAACTGGGCACGAAACGCGCAAAGAACTAACCAGCTGATGCTTCCCGAGAGTCCAGAGTCTACAACCGACTTATACAGAATCCCTTAACTTTTTTTTCTTTTCCTTTTCCGTCGGTGAAGAGCAGATTCTCCTGGGGGCAATCTAACGTTCTGATAAGAGGGTTACCTCCCAGGTTACCTCTAGCCGCGGGCGGTGCTTCTGTATACCCCCAGGACATCAGGCTGGAGCTGTCCACCTTCACTTTACATCCTGAAAGTGGGGAGGGGCTGCCTCCGAGTCACAGGCTTGCCTGTTTAGAGTACCATCTTACACATTCCAGTCACCCCAGCCGTGCATTCTCGAGGGCACAGGGCCTTCAGGAAATCGCTCCGGAGAGGGGCATTAAGTATCTGTGGTTTCCACGCCTCCCACGTTTCAGCGCGAGGTTCCTACTGGGAGATGGGAAGAGACACTAAGCTCTCCTCCTATGGAACATTTACCCAACTCGGAGGCCACGGAAGCACACAGAACTCCGGCGACGACAGCACCGGCTGATTTTCCGCTCTTCCCGGCTCGTTCTTCCGCCCGCGCAGCCCTTGCCCCCGCCCCTCGGCCCTCCTCACAGGAACCTGCGCCCGGGCCGCTCCCGCGCTTCTCCCCAGCCACCCGCAGCGGCCTGCTTTTTATAGACGCCACAGCCAATGACCGCTCTCCTTTCCTTCTGCCCGCCCGCCCGGCCAATCGACGCGCCCCTTGTGTAATCTTCGGCTCCTCGACTTCTCTCGGCTATTTTCGTTGTTGCTGGCTTTTTCAGGGGCTGGTTGCTCGCAGCCAGAGACGCTGCTTTTTTTTCCGGGTTCGGAGCCGTTCCGGATGCTTTAGGCTGCCGGATGTCTGATCTCCGGATAAGTGAGGCGTTTCTGTACATGGATTATCTGGTAGGTGCGGGGCAGGGGTGGCGTGTCGCCCCTCGGACCCCAGCGTGCCCGATGTCCCTCCGCCTGGAGGAACAGCCTTTTTGCTTTCTTTCTTTGGGATGGGATGCCTTTGGGGTTCTTTCTCCCGCAACCAGCTCTGGAGCTGTGCCGGGACTCAGAGGGGTGGCAGCTGAGGCGGTGGGACCGCAGCTCCCAGGGAGTGGTGGAACTGACAGGTAAAGGTGCGGCCCGGGCCAGCGGTTCTGTGGGGCGAGGGGCGCACGGGCGCTCCCCGAGAGATGGGGCCGCGGCGGCGGGGCGTCTTTTGCCCGTGGTCGGTTCTTGGCTTCCCTCTGCACTCCTGCAGAGGACTTTCTTTCCCAGGAAGCAGGAGTTTTCCCCTCAGCCTTTAGCAGAACTCCAGATACTATTAAAGAGCCATAACCGGAATGGCTTACTAAGTGCCCGGCAGCCCCGGTCATTTGGTTGTTATTAGATCTCTAAAGCTATGACCTCGGTCGCCGCGAGGTTTTAAAAGCACATTACCATATAGTAGACGGGACTAAACTACAGCGCAGCCTGGGTAGAAAGGACTGGGTAGGCAGGCATTGCCTCGCCGTCTCTGCCGTGGATGCTTCTCTTAACCGGCTCACAGATTGGACCCTGTCTGAGCTTTTTAGGCCAGGCTTGTGCTGAGAAGTTTAGGTGGGAAAAGTGTCAGCTCATTGTTGGGGCTGAACATTGCTTTTAAAAATGCACTTGATTTATGTGTGTGTGTGTGTGTGTGTGTGTGTGTGTGTGTGTGTGCGTGTGTATAATTATGCAAAACACCGCATATTGTTCGAGAAATTATTTCCCCAGAGCTGCATGTTTGTGTTCACTGGGACCCTCATTAATGTTGGCTGTATTCAGTCCTAAACAGTTGCCAGGTTTACCTTTTTATCTAGAACCTCTGTTGCAATGCAGAGTTGAAGTAAACGGTAAAGACATTGACCGTCCTGTCATCTTGTTGAACACATGCTGTTGGTTTCTGCCTGCAGATTGGCCTGGCAGAGATTTGCCAGTGCCTTCTAGGAATTACACTAATGCTGTACTGAGAAAGACTGTGAATGCGTTCATAGTCAAGAAACTCTGGACAAGGACTGGTTTTGTAATGCTCTCTTGTGTTTGGGCTTATTTCCCCTAAATCTTCCTGGTTTGATGGGCTTGTGGGGAGGGGTGATGACTGCAGTTGATATACGACCTTGTGCATTGAGGGGAGTCAAAAACTGAATTCAAATTCTGTTTTCTTCTTTTGTTAATGTCCGTAACTTCCTCTGTCTTTGTGATAAAGGGACATTAGGTGCCCACAGTGTAGCCAGTTAAGGAGGTTATCTGATTGGGGGTTCTTTAAAATGCAAAGTGCTATGTAGGGTTAGAGAGTTGTCAGATGTTTCTTAAAGACTATTTTCTGAATTAAGTGATCGGTTATTTTGTAGCTTGTCTCATGCAGTACTATGGTTTTGTCTTGCAGTTTGCCCGAATTAAAGCCAAAGTTTGCTGAGGAAAGGGCTGCCTTACCTATACTAATGAAAGCTGATTTTGGATGCTTAGTTAAGTAGTTCCTAAAAAGGAGCTTGCTATTTTATTTGCTGAGTGAGTTTTAAAGTTGCAAATTGCATTGTAAACCTCTCTTTGAGGTGCCAAACCCACTACAGCAGTTAGTGGGGGAAAACAATTGGAAGACTCTGGTTAATTACTCCGGTTCATTTCCTGATGGGGAATGCTTGTGGTGCTCTAGATTACCTTAAAAACAGGTTCTTTCTTCCTCAATTTCCTAAGTTATGTGTCAAAGTCAATGGGCCCCAAATTTGACATGGCTTTTTTGTTTTACCTGCCGTGCCCCGATATACCCTATGCATTCCTGTTTTTAAAAAATCATTATTTTGTCACCTTGGCTATGCTTTCTAAAAAATTCACAAGTGTAGCGAAACAGTCCCATAAAAATCACTTGGCTAATCATTGGTGGTGAGGAAAAAAACTCTTAAAGGAAATAAGTCAGTTCTGATGAGTGTGTCAAGTATTGGCTGTGAGAAGACTTAAGGAAATCCTTAAACCTTAAAGGAAAGAGCCTCTGCAGGTGGTCTTCTCTGTTTACATTTTACTTAGTTCTCAGAGAAAATGATGTTCTACACATCATTCCTCTTGCCTTTCAGATGGACTCATTTGCTTTTCCATAATTTTTATGTGGTATTTATTAAAAACCAGTTTCTGAAAAATGAAAATCAATTTCGTTGACTGGCATCTTACTTTAAAAATCAGTTCCCAAGTTCTTTCACTTACCTTCCAGAGAAAATGCACTCCTTTCATTTCTAGTTTGACCCTTCAGATTTTGCTGAGCTTGTGAACTAGAGTAAGTACCCTGTCCATGCACTTGACAGGAATAGCGTGTATGCCATCTTTTCTTCTCTTTTCTTTTTAATCGGTGTTTGACTTTCTTCTTCTTGCTGCTGGAAGAAGAGGAAGCTGTGTGTGTGTATGCATTGTCCATTGTTCTTTGGGCTGGATGGCATCACTTAACCTTAATTGCAGGAGAGTGGAAGGAAGAGAAATGAGAGAAAGAGGTGCTTTTAATAAGACTGTGAATATTAAACAGAGGATGAAACTCTCTGATCTTAAAGGCTACTGTCGATTCCTTTACTTGAAGGAAATGCTATGAATTAGAGGTGACAGATAAGGTGAAGCCCAGGGATGGTGCCTTTCTATTTAGGATAAAGTTTTGATTGATTTCAGTTTAGGAAGCTACAATAATGGTAATTTATGTATCCTCAGTAATTACATGTATCACCTTGTACTCTATCTTTATTTGTTGAATTGAATGAATATGAGAGAGAAGGGACAGCTTTTCTCTCCAGCTTCTAAAGTAAGACAAGATAACATCTGTTTGGATTAGGTGTTTTACTCTGGGGAATGCAGAATGTATCTTTTACTCTTAACTTTAAGATTATCAAGGTATTTGTTTTGCCTGGGTGGCCATTTAAAAATGAAAATCTCGGTTTTCCAGTATTTAAATATAAAAATCTCAGTATTGATAGGCCATATACCTTTTTCCCATTTTAGGAATGGGTTTTAAATGCCATGTTCACACCTGTCAGGTCTGTAGGGGAAGATTCTGTTGCTGTTCCAGTGGGCAGTACCAGCATCTTCCTGTTTCTCTTCTGACAGGTAGAACTAGTAAGACAGTGTGTGGAACTTTCTGAATAAGAAGATAGTTAAGCTCTAATGGAAAACGTGTTTACCAGGTTTTCCTGGAAGGTTGGACAAAATCAACTTCTAGATTCCTCTCGGTTTAATATTCTTTGTGTCCTGACTCACGTTGATTGGCCTGAATTGTACCTCTTCCTCCCTTCTGCCATCACAATAATATCACAAATTATATCACAAATATAAAATTTGGTATGCTTTGTGTAATGCCAGTGATGATTACATGGGATGATGGAGGGAGAGTGATTTATAAACAGCATGTTGCTTTTCAGATGTAAAATGTTAATATACTGTGGTTATGTTGCTCATACTATTCTTATGCCTCCTATAGAATGACTGATGCCTCCTATAGAATGACTGTGACTGCCCAGTTTTAAAGATTGGGCTATCTTTTAAATTAGTCTCAGTATATGGAGAGATTTAATGTCATCAGCAAGCAGGAAGTTACAAGACTTCCTTGAGGATTGTTTACTACCTATAAAAAATAAAATATGTTCCTTAATCCATCTAACAAATACTTATGGGCCCCCTGCTTTGTGCATGACCCTGAAAGTCGTGGAGGATGAGCCCCCACTGGGATCACCTTGGCTGTGAGACTTGTGTCTGGGGGGGGGGGGGGCGGTGGCCCCTGGGGGGGGGCGGTGGCCCCTGCAGGAACCTGTGGCAGTGGACAGATAGGTAGGCAAGTGGGGGAGGAGGCCGCCTGCCATGTGCCTCTTGGCTCTCTGGTAGGTTTCCTGTGTGTTTCTTTGTTTCATTGTGAACTGAAATGCAAAGCTGGGCCTGAAAATGTGACATCTAAAAGTGCTGCTTTGGCTGCTAATTGTCAGATAATGATCATTTTACCTGTATGTTGGGTTTGGGATCTCATGAGGCCAGGGTTCTAGGTTTCTTTTTCTGTATAGGTTGGTGAGCCTGGCCTAGTTTCTTGGTCACAGGCTATACCTGTCATATAAAAATTTGTGTGTCGATAGGGAAGATCAGGTGAAAGAAGATAGATCAGCACAAACCCATCACCACTTGCAGAATACAAACCAAGTAATCAACCAACCAAGAACAGAAGCTCTTGATGTATTGATGCGCAGAACTCTGAGGTTCTACTAAGTTGGAAATGAGCCTATTCTAAAAGAGGAGTGAAGGCACAGTTACGACTTTTATCTGATGTTCCGTGGTCTTAGAAGTGTGCTGTTTTTTAACTGTGAATGACTATGAATATTATAACATGTATTCTATGTATAAAGTGATAATATAGGTCGTATATTTTTAATCTTAACTGCAGCTGGATTAGTTAGTCACATAGGTGTTCTTTTATTAATAGATTTATTAATAAAAAGATTTATATGATAAAAAGGGAACACAATAACCGGTTCTTTTAGCAAAAAAGTTTCAAAAATATCCAGACCGTGAGGCAGAAACGGCGATATAAGGCAGTAGCTCTGGTTCTTAACTGTCTGTGGTTCAGGCTTGTAGCATGAATCCCAAGAGAGCACACATGGGGACATGATTCATGTCCTCTGAGAGCTTGCATTCTGAAGAATGCCTAAGCTGTGTGCTTGTAGGCATGCTGAGGGTGGGGGGAGTTAAGCATAGGTATTATGAGGATAAAATAGTTACCGTTTATTGAGCACATACTGTGGTGCCGGATAATGTAAATGCTTTCCACATGAGTGCATTAAACCAAGGCTGAGAGAGGTTTTGTAATTTCCCCAAGTTCACACAGCTAACAAGTAATAGAGCTGGGACTGTGGTCCCAGAACCATCCCTCTTC